CCGTCCATTCCTAATATGCAAGAGTCCACATGAAGAGGAGCACATTACACATCTCTGTGCCTTCCTCGGTACCAGGTACCGCTGGTTTCGTCGCACCTGGCAACGAGGCGGGCGGTATGTTGCGGCCGAATTTATGACTCGCGCCGTACGGTCCACTTCTTCTGTACCAGCGCTCCTACCGCCACCCTTCGGGGTCTCTGACGCCAAAGTCTCTCCGCTCGAGGCCTTCTTTTGTCATCGTCCTCTTCCGCTTGACGCGTGGTACGGAGAAGTGCGTGGAACCGTAATCAATCCCCATATCAAGACATTTGTTATTCAATATTATATTTTTTAGTAAAGCTACGCGAATAAACTAATCTAGAGAACTATTGGAGTGATTTCACCTGCCCACTTCCTGAACGCGAACGTTCAGAACGGCATTCCGTGTCTCGCTACACTCGCGGCCTGGTAATATCGAGTCGGACTCGCCCGGCAGATTATACGCGCGAACATAATGGTCCTTCGAGCCGGATCGCTCGCAAAGGAAGTGTGAAAGGTGCTAAAAGTCAGACTCTCCGAACTAGTATTTGTGAAAGGGGAAGTCAGTGCGGAGCAACATTACCCGCAAACGCCTGGGAAATACAAGGGGTATTTCTCCCGAGGCAGAGTGAGTGGTCGTGATTTTATACGCGGTTACATTCATCGAGAGCAAATCTAGAACTCGGTGGCGAAGAGAACGCCATTTTCCGGTTTCTCCTTCTCGCCACGTGGCACGCAACGATTTCGCCTAGCCGCGCAGCGCGAGCGTGCCGCACGCGGCCTTATCAACGAGACCCCTACTACGCCAGTTGGTAGAAGGAGGCGCCGTTGGAGTCGCACCCTTCGAACGTCGAGGGCCTCGTATTTTGCTGAGTCAGTACGGCTAACCTAAAACGCGACTTAAGGTTAATACGATGGACAGGTTACTTGCCAGGCAGACAACTGAGGGCCAGCTGATTCTCAACTTCATGGTCAACACCGACAAGGCGCCTGCCAACAGTCAATCAGTCGCGGCACTGAAAGCCCGACTGGCGCTACTGGAGTCGTATTGGGCCAAGGTGTTGAATCGGCACTGCGAGATGGACCCCACTGAGGAACAACGAGCTACTGAACCGTATTGGACCAAAGACCAATTCAGTCTGTACGAGCAAAATTACATACAGCACGTGGTCACCTTGAAGGAGAGGATAGCGCTTCTCGAGCCAGAAGCCCCTCAGATTGCCCAATCTCCTGGGGCACCTACACGAGTCATGCACGACGCCTCAGCGCCACTCCGCAAGTTACCACTGCCCACCTTCAACGGAGATGTCTTGCAATGGGCCGCATTTAAAGAGCGTTTCAGCTCGCTGGTCGGCAACGTGGCCTCCTATTCGAAGGTCACTAAGTTACAGTATCTCCAATCTTGCCTTGAAGGACCGGCCGCGAAGCGAGTGAACAATATGGAGATAACGGGCGCTAACTACGACGTTGCATGGGCCAAGCTTGTCAAACGGTATGACAACGAAAGAATCACGCTCTCCGCTCACCTGTCAAAGATGCTTAAACTACCAACCACACCTCAAAGGACTGCTGCAGGAATCAGTGGACTATTAGACGAGGTCGACGAGGCTTTGGCAGCCCTCAAGCATCTAGGCAGACCTGTCGATCAATGGGATGACTGGCTGATCGAAATAATCACTGCCAGATTGGACAGCTCAATCATAGAAGACTGGGAGAAGTCTCAGGAGGGCAACGACATACTGCCTACCTATGGTGAACTGGTAGACTTCTTAGAAACTCGGATTCGATCCCTGGAATCGGCGCATCGGAAAGGGCCCGAACCGAGTTCCAGTTCCACAGTGAAGCCCACGCCAAGCAAAAAACAGGCTCCTAAGGAAAGGAAATCGGTGAACTCTTATCACAGCTCATCGACCGAGGCATCCGCGAATCCTCGCTCGAAAAGGGGATGCAGTATATGCAAGGGCGAGCACTTCATCGGCTACTGCCCCAATTTTGTCAAACTGGAACCCGAAAGGAGGAGAGAGCTCGTCTCCTCCACTGGTTTGTGCTTCAATTGCTTGTCTGGGAAGCACATAGTCGCTAAATGCACCTCGAAGGGTCGGTGCTCTACACGGGATTGCGGAGCCAAACATCATTCGCTGTTGCACGTGGACAAACCAGTCGCTACAGATAGGGAGGAAGACCACGTGAATTCATCGACGGACTCTCCGTCAACGGTGTCACACACAACCCAAGTGAGTGGTACTAAGCGCACGCACGCCTCCCCGAAAGTAAGAGGGATCACCCTGTTACCGACTGCTTGGATCATCCTGGAATCATTTGATGGAGCTTCGGTGAGAGTAAGGGCCTTGATCGACCAAGCTTCTGAGGGGTCATTTATTTCAGAACGGATAACACAAGCTCTCTCCTTACACCGAAGGAAAAGTGCTGTTTCCGTCATTGGAGTCGGCGGACAGGTAAACTTGACCTCCAATTTTGTAACGGAAGCTCTACTCCGCTCTCCCAAGAAAATGGACTTCTCGCTGAGTTTCACAGCCATGATCCTGGGCAATTTAACCAAACTTCTGCCCACGGAACGTTGTCGACGGGAACCCTGGCCGCACATGGAGGGCCTAGACCTGGCCGATCCCGATTTCTGCGAACCAGATTGCATCGAATGCATACTTGGAGGGGACGTTTTCCCGCAAATTATCCGCGAGGGTGTTCGACTCGGCTCGGATATGCAACCCGTTGCTCAAGAAACCGTTTTGGGTTGGATAGTGACGGGTCCAGTCTCCACACAAGCTACGGATGGAAGATTGCCTACCATGCAATCGTTCCATACATTAACCTCGTCGGTGAATGAAGACCTCAGGCGCTTCTGGGAGATAGAAGAGGTCCTCGCTAAGCCGAAGCTTTCCGCACCAGAACAAGCGTGCGAGGATCACTACGTTGAGACTCACCGACAAGATTCCGAAGGAAGGTTTGTCCTTCGCCTACCTTTCTCGCAACCACCGGAGTTAGGAGACTCCAAAAGAATCGCCGAGGCCAGATTACTTCAGACGGAGAGACGCCTGCATGGTAGACCTGCGCTACGACACGCATATGCTAAGTTCATGGAAGAGCTGCGGTCGCTCAACCACATGGAAGAAGTACCCGAAGGAAAGGATAGGATAAAAGTGAGGATAAAGGCTACTATATGCCGCACCATGTTGTGGAGAAACGAGACGGCTCCGGAAAAATCCGAGTCGTCTTCAACGCCTCTCAACCCTCATCGAACGGGCTGTCGCTGAATGACTGCTTACACACCGGACCTGCGCTACAGTCGGCAATCACCACCATCATATCCAGGTGGAGATTTCTACGCTTTGTATTTAGCGCAGACATCGTGAAGATGTTTCGGCAGTTCCGGATGGACGAACGAGACCGGAACTGGCTGCGCATCGTCTGGCGAGATGTATCGAATGACCACGGTGGTCTACGGCACTGGCTGTGCACCCTACCAGGCAATTAGATCTATAAAGCAATTAGCCTCGGAGGTGTTTGATGTATTTCCCCGAGCAGCCGAAATCTTAGAACGCCACATCTACATGGATGACGCCTTCGCTGGAGCGGATACGCTCGAGGAAGCCCTTGAAGCTCGCAACGAACTGATCAACGTTCTACGGTCAGCTGGCATGGAGCTGGATAAGTGGTCCGCCAATCAATCGGCATTGCTAGATGGACTGCTAATTTCCACAGATCCAGTGCGATTCTTCTCAGAGGAGAACGTTGTGGCCACGCTTGGACTGCAGTGGCACAATGCTACGGACTATTTCTGTTACAGGGTAGTGCTTCCCACGGCGCCCCCCAACACGACCAAACGGGTGGTGCTCTCTGAAGTCGCCCGGCTGTTCGACCCGCTAGGATGGCTAGCGCCGGTCATCGTAATCGCCAAAATACTGATTCAACGACTTTGGATCTCGGGTTGCGATTGGGACCAAGCCGTCCCGGACGAGGTACTTGGCTCTTGGACTAACCTACGAGAACAGCTACCCTGCCTCGAGCAGCTGCGAATCGCCCGCTGGCTAGGAACTCTGGATTCCTCCACTTTCTTCCTGCACGGCTTTGCCGATGCTTCGAGCCAAGCCTATGCTGCCACGGTGTACATCGTCACGTTGGTTGGAGACGAAGGACCTCGGTCAACTTTACTGGCCGCAAAGACGAAAGTGGCCCCAATCAAGACGCTCAGCATTCCCCGGCTAGAGCTATGCGGAGCGTTGTTACTCGCCCGATTGATGGACAGCATTATATCCCAACTGTCCACGTCACCAAAAGGAGTATATTGTTGGACTGACTCCCAGGTCGCACTGGCCTGGCTAAACAGCCATCCTTCGCGTTGGCAAGTATTCGTTGCCAACAGAACCAGTGAAATCCTGACCACACTGCCGACAGCCAGCTGGGGACATGTCAGGACTTCGGAGAATCCAGCTGACTTGGCCACGCGAGGGGTGGAACCTCGCCTTCTGCAACAGCAGACGCTATGGTGGAGCGGACCTGCCTGGCTCACTACTCACTGGCAGAACTGGCAGTCTTCCGGAACCCATTACTCAACCACCGTCGAGGAGAAAAAGGAGAAAATGGTCTTCACTACACCGTTGGGGAAGACAGACAAGGACAAACCTATGGAATCCATGCTCTCCAGGTACTCCAAGTGGTCCAAGGTAATGCGAATCTTTGCCTATGTGCTCAGGTGGCGAACTAACGCAAGACTGGCCCGGCGAGAACGCGTTGCATCTACGCTAAGCGCGGAGGAGCTTTGGCGTGCGCAACGGGCGATCATTGTCGCCACACAAGGAGAATACTTCGAGCAAGAATTAAGCTATTTGCGGGCTGGTCGTCCACTGCCGGCGACAAAGAATCTACGCCGATTTCTGCCGTTCCTGGATCAGGACGGTTTACTTCGGATCGGAGGTCGTCTCCAAAACACCCACCTTGGAGAAGGCGAGAAACATCCGATCATTGTGCCAGGTGAAAGCCACTTGGCAGAGCTCCTCATTCGAGATGCACATCTTCGCACGTTGCATGGGGGCCCACAACTGGTGATGAGTCATCTCCTACGCTCTTTCTGGATTATCCACGTACGCAATCGGATCAGACGGCTCACGCGACAGTGTGTTCGGTGTACGAGGTTTCAAGGTCAACTACAATCGCAGCAGATGGCCGCGCTACCCTCTCCGAGAGTAACCCCGGATAGGCCTTTTGCAATTACTGGGCTGGATTACGCAGGGCCTTTCCAGCTAAGGACCACGAAGGGACGGGGGCACAAATCTTACAAAGGCTATGTGTCCATCTTCATCTGCATGGTTACCAGGGCGGTGCATGTAGAGGTCGTGTCCGACTACACGACCGGCTCCTTCTTGAATGCCTTCCGGCGTTTCGTGTCGAGGCGAGGCCGTTGTAGAGTCCTCTACAGCGACAACGGCACCACCTTCCAAGGTGCCGACGCAGAGCTCCAAAGGTTATTTCACTCTTCATCGGAGTTTAGTCGGGATGTCGCGACGGCCACTGCAGCAGAGGGGGTGAATTGGAAGTTCATCCCCCCTCGAGCGCCGCATTTTGGAGGCATCTGGGAGGCCGCCGTTAAGGCCTTTAAACACCACTTGCGACGTGTATTAGGTGACTCTACACTCACCTACGAGGAGTTCGCCACGCTTGCGACACAGATAGAGGCGTGCCTAAACTCAAGGCCCCTCTGCCCACTCAGCAGCGATCCAAGGGACCAGGAGCGGACCTGCCTGGCTCACTACTCACTGGCAGAACTGGCAGTCTTCCGGAACTCATTACTCAACTACCGTCGAGGAGAAAAAGGAGAAAATGGTCTTCACTACGCCGTTGGGGAAGTCAGACAAGGACAAACCTATGGAATCCATGCTCTTCAGGTACTCCAAGTGGTCCAAGGTGATACGAATCTTTGCCTATGTGCTCAGGTGGCGAACTAACGCAAGACTGACTCGGCGAGAACGCGTTGCATCTACGCTAAGCGCGGAGGAACTTTGGCGTGCGCAACGGGCGATCATTGTCGCCACACAAGGAGAATACTTCGAGCAAGAATTAAGCTATTTGCGGGCTGGTCGTCCACTGCCGGCGACAAAGAATCTACGCCGATTTCTGCCGTTCCTGGATCACTTTTATGGATTACTTCGGATCGGAGGTCGTCTCCAAAACACCCACCTTGGAGAAAGCGAGAAACACCCGATCATTGTGCCAGGTGAGAGCCACTTGGCAGAGCTCCTCATCCGAGATGCACATCTTCGTACATTGCATGGGGGCCCACAACTGGTGATGAGTCATCTCCTACGCTCTTTCTGGATTATCCACGTACGCAATCGGATCAGAAGGCTCACGCGACAGTGTGTCCGGTGTACGAGGTTTCAAGGTCAACTACAATCGCAGCAGATAGCCGCGCTACCCTCTCCGAGAGTAACCCCGGATAGGCCATTTGCAATTACTGGGCTGGATTACGCAGGGCCTTTCCAGCTAAGGACCACGAAGGGACGGGGGCACAAATCTTATAAAG